GGGGGGGGGGGGGGGGGGGGGGGGGGGGATTAAACTACCCCCCCCCCCTCAAAAAAAAAAAAAAAAAAAAAAAATACCTGTCTATGTTCTTGCCATTCAGCAGTGTATCAGAGAGGTCAATGCCATCAATGACCCTGTCTCTAGGGAGAGTGATGTTAGCCAGGCTCAACAGAGTAGGGAACATATCCATGAGTGACCCCAGCTGATATGATACCTGAAATATACCTGATAATGAGTGACCCCTGCTGATATGATACCTGAAATATACCTGATAATGAGTGACCCCAGCTGATATGATACCTGAAATATACCTGATAATGAGTGACCCCTGCTGATATGATACCTGTAATATACCTGATAATGAGTGACCCCAGCTGATATGATACCTGAAATATACCTAATTATAAGTGACCCCAGCTGTTTGATACCTGAAATATACCTGATAATGAGTGACCCCAGCTGATATGATACCTGAAATATACCTGATAATGAGTGAACCCAGCTGTTTGATACCTGAAATATACCTAATAATGAATTTATGTAATCAACACCCTTTTTATAAATTATGAATGTCAAAAGTGAAACTGCCTATAGAACCAACACAAACAGTAACCTTGCTGCAAGAAAGAAGAAACATCTTTCACTATCAACAGATACATTACAAGGCATAACAACTCTTCATACAGTATGAGATACAAAATTCAACAATAAATACATTGTAAACAACACACAGAAATATAATAAATTCCATTTTACCACCAAAACAGGAATTTTCACAACGATTCCAAAATCTGTGCTTGCTATAAGACCATATGGACCTCCACATATGGCTTCCTTTCATAATAATCTCTTTAGGTTATTACAAAAACTCACTTTTAAAAAATCCACTTATTTTGAATATCAGAATGGATCTACTGTAAAATACTGGAAAAAGGTTGTTTTCCCGAGAAATATCAGTAATACAGCACTTTTTTGGAAAAACTGAAGAGCTGTTATCCCTTACAGATTATCCAGTTTAAAATTCAGTAGATTTAACGCCACAAAAACATCACTTCTCTTTCTTCATTCAGGGCTGATAAATCTATGTCACTACCAAAAGTGCCAGACTTATTTATTCATTGAATATTTAGCTTAAATTTAGACACTTTCCCTGCCAAATGTGCTTCAAGAATCAATTTCAGAGTCATACCTGTCTGGGTTTGATATGTTTGGGCCACCATGCGATGGTTGGCTCTCTCATTCCACCTTCAAATGTCGTCTGCTTTCCACACAAAAAGGGACCATTGCTGCCACCTATAGTTACAATGTATGTAAATATTTGATAAAAACGTTGAAAAATAAACAGTATCGAGAGCAAAGTTCCCAAACGGGTTGGGCAGGGATGTGGAGGTGGTCTAAATTACATGTAGGTGCAATTCAACAACTTTACTAGAGGATCAAAAAGGCGAAACCGCCACCAGGTAGTGTACCACCAACGAAATTTAGTGCATTTAAGTTCAATGGAAACCATGGGTGAATTTCTTCTAGATAAAGCTAGATAAAAACTAGCCTTCCTTACCTTTGTCTTTAGAGACCATAGCACCTCCATTGTCAGAGGAGAAAACAACAAGAGTGTTGTCATCCACTTTATGTGTCTTCAGTGCATCAAGAATCTGTCCAACTGCCGAGTCTATTTCCTTAACTGCATCTCCATACCTGAAATATAATAGCATTATAGTGATGCTAAAAAAAAACATAATATCTCTTGAAATCAATTTTTGAATTTGACATTTGCAACACTCGAACAGATGATATCCAGAACCACTTACGGTCCACACATACCAGTGTCCAGGAATACTTACAAACCTCTCCTACTTGTACCCAAGAAAGGCTTACTGGCATACACTGGACCATGGGTGGCATCGATGGCCCAGTAAAGAAAAAATGGCTTCTGACTCTGTGCTTGTTTTTCTATAAAGTCCACAGCTTGCTGAAAATTGAAACAACAATTTTATTTCAGGGATGTGTAAAGAGTCCTATAACCAGTTTTCAAAAAAAAAAAAAAATGTGTAGACTACAGCTTTCCTCATGCAGAGAGCCATCCAACCACCATTTGGATGGCCATTAGCATCAAAGGACTTCTTGTACTTCTAAAGATGGCTGGACAGCTTACAAAATTTTAATTTTGGTTGGGCTTATTGCTTGGGTTGGACTACCTGTAAATTGATGACCAAATTATAACTTTGCATTTTGGATCTCTGTGTTCCAAATCTGTGTTAAATACCTCATTGACTTCATCTTAGTGGCAAAAAATACAAACAAAACCTGAACTTTCTACTGGTAAATGCACATACTTACTGTAAATGTGCAGTTTTTAAGGAGATAAAAACAAAGCTTTAAAAGAATATTACACACCTTGACAAGATCAGACCTAAACTTACTTAAAGAGAGAGAAAAAGAGAGAGAAATTGATTCAGAAGATAAAATTTCCACAAAGACCCCGTGACTTCACCTGTGTAAATATCTGTGTCAGGTTAGATTCTCCAGTCTCTCTGTGGATTTGAAAATCTTCATAATATCTATTAATAAATAAATAAAATAAATAAGCCATAAAATGAATGCTTTACCTAAGGCAGAAAATATACAGGAAATGAATTGTCTCCCCCAGTGTCAAGTCCGTATATGAGCACTCAGTATAAATATTATACAGTACCTCTGTGAGTGAGAGTATTAGGAACCATGCACTTTGTTGACTAGATAGTGAGCAGAGACAATTGCTGAATGTAATCAGAATTACACGCATCCTCTCATTTCCAACATATACTCATATAATCACCAGTTTTTCTGTATTCTACTCAGCACCAGGCTACATGTCAATCTGATTTCATTCAGCAAGAGTCCCCATGGATTGTTCAGTATGTGTTCAGTATGACTGCAAATTTAGCTGTTTGACAAAATTCAATGTGAACAGCCCGCAAGGCCCTTTTCACTTTCAGTGCTACACTTCAGAAGTATGGCTTTTACAGTTCTTGTTATTATTTCCATACAACAGTAAATTGTTTAATACCCCTCTCTCTGATAAACTTCCAGCCTGTATTCACCTACCTACTAAACAAGTCAGAACAATGATTGTTTAACCCCCCTCCTTGATATGCCCCCCCCCCCCCCCGTATAC